GCGCTGATGAAGCTTCGCAGGTTGGGCGGCCTCGCCCTGAGTCTGCGCCCCGTCGCCGTCTTGCGGGGGATCGACGGGGTCTCGGAGCGGTAGCGCAGTCGATTTCGAACGAGTTCAGTCTGAAGGCGTTGCAGAAGGTATTTCATCACATTCGACGAGTTCGGCGTGCACCGGTGGTGTGGCACCATTCACGTGCCACTGGCCTTGATAAACGAAATGGGAAGGAGGGTTTCTCTGCGAGGCGTTGCATCCATGGTCTGTGTCGTATGGGGGTGCTGTGGTACAAAGCGCAACTTCGTCGTGGCCCTGGGGGTCCAGTACCTGGCCGCGAGCATGGCTATCACCGCGGTCGGAGCCGGGAAGGTGCCTCGATTCGTCATGAAGTACTGTTGGGGCGATTGAGGTCGTTAGGGGTTTCAACGGTCACAGCGAAGGAGGATGTGGCCCTTTCGGCTGTGCGGCTTTCTCGTCCCTTCGGGCCACTGTGGCCACATCGATTTGTGAGGATTCGCATTGCTACTTTCACTAGCGGCATGGGCACAGTACGTTCACGATTGTCGGCGCCGACGGAGAGCAGACCATGCGCAACCTCTGCGGCGCCTTCATGGGCGACGGCCCCGCTGCCCTGCTCTTCGCCCGTGCGTGCCGTCACCCTGTACAGTGGCTGGGTGCGATGTGGATGGAGACGTGGCGAGGTGAAGCCCCCCTGCGGCCGACTACAGATGCTGAGTGGCTGGAGGCCGAACTTGTACCACCGTCGCCGCCGACGATTTCTTCGCGGACGGTTTGGCCTAGGGAGGCTCTCTGTATTGCATGGGTTCCTATTCTTCAGCGGCCAGTGGGTCTTTCATGTCGGATCTACGCGGACGACACTAGCAAGACGCACGTTGTCACCTCGGCGCTGGACGCGCGGCATGCTCTCGAGGTGTCCCACAGGCACCTGCACGACGCGCTGGCGTCCGACGGCGATGCGCACAACCGTGGGGAGAGCAGCGTCACTCCATCGTTCGTCGGGCAGGGCCCTCAGAAGAATGCCGCAGCTGTGTTCGGGGGAACCGTGAAGTTGCCTGGCCAGGTTCAATTTGATCCTGTTGCTCTCGGGGTCCAGACGTCAGTGAACGGGGGCATCCAGGGCGAACTTGAGCGGCGCATCTTGGCTTGCAGGAGGGGGCGCTACACCGTGGGCAGGTTCTGGAGCCAAATTCGAGTTTGGAACTTCTCGAGGATTGTCTTTGGGGCTGTGGTCCAAGGAGCCCTCCTGTCAGGGCTCACCACTCTGATCTTCTCCGAGGCGCAGGAGCTACGTCTGGATCGTGTCTTGGTCGGCTTTGCGAGGAAGCTATTAGGAGGAGGAGCCTGCATCAAGACGGAGGTGGTGGATGAAGGAGGCGCCCCCGTCGTCGGTGATCGTGGTCGTCCCGTCCTCCGATGTCGAGCGCTCACGGACATCGCAGTCCTGAAGCGAGCTGGGGTTGCCCCCTCTGGTGCGGAGCTACGTGTCCGCGGGCTCCGACAATGCCAGCAGTGGATTCGATTTCCCGATCGTCACCCACCAGAGTTAGGAGCCTTGTTCGGACAACTGCCACCCGATGCGAGACCAACGTTGAGCGAGGAAGGATTCCTTCAGGAGCAGTCGAACCCAAATGCCAGACGCTTCGCGTTCGACACCCTGTGCTTGGTCCAGAAGTCCGAGGCGTCCCTTCTCGAAGGCTGACTGTTCTCGGCCCCCCTTCGGAACCCGCACTTCGGTTGAACGTCGAGGCCCTGTTCATGGATGGGGACCTCAAGGAGCAGTTCTTGGCCTTAGACCCTGGGCTACTCAGGGCAGCTGATTAGACGGTAGCGATCCCTCCATTTCCAGGGCTCTATGGCGCTCTTCTTCCGGCGGCGCTCGGGATGTCCCTCCCGCTCCTACTGCTAGTTGGGTGTGTGAGTTAAAGGGCTCCCAGGGTCAGGTATGCGGGCAGGTCTTCCAAACTCGTCGGGCCCTTCTTGCGCATCAGCGTTTCTCCAAGAACGGGGGGAACTCGCGCCGCTCCGTCACGCACCCCATCATCATCATCATGCCGAAAGTCGTTTCGTACACACCGTATAGCACAATAACTTGCAGTGCACGGAGTCCTGAAGGCCCGATGCCCTCCCAGAGCCTCGACGTTTCATCATCCTGTCGTCGAGCCCCCCAGCCTGGTCTGTCCCTTGTTCTACATTAAGGCGTCTTCGATCTTCGGGGACCATTGCTCTGATCACGCATGCAGCTGTGCGGGGCCGTTTCGGGGCCGTGACGTTTTGAACCGACGTTAGTGGAGGCGCGCGCCGAGACTTCCCATCGCCTTCGGCATGGATGCATCGGCTGGGCGAGAAGGTGCTGGCCGCGGCAGGGCGGTCCCGCTCCCAGGCGGGCTCGAACAGAGGCCGATCTGGCTCGGCGCACGCTTCCCAGCAGCGTGGAGGGCGCCGCGTTCAGCGCAGCAGGGGCCCTCAGCGCGTCGCTCCGCGGCAGCCTCGGCAGGGCTCGGCGAGCGGCGGCGCGCCCGCGGCAGCGGCGCCCGCCAGTGGTGGCGCCGACCTCAAGATGGAGCTCGGCAGGAGCTACGGGGTCCCAGAGGACACGCTCGACAAGCTGCCGTCGATGAGCGCTCAGCTCATGGCCAAGATTGCGCCGATCCTGGTGAACGCAGTGCTCGGAAACTCCTTCATGATGCGTCAATTGATGGCTGTCGACTTCATCGCGATGACGATGGACGAAGACGCTCCCTTGGTGCAGACCGCCTTTCGGGGCGGTCGCGCGTGTGCGACCGAGGCCGCTCGCCTCCGCGACCTGCGTCAGAGGTCGCCAGATCACAATCCACTGCAAGAAGTTGTGATGGGACCAGCGTGCGTGCAGATCTTCCAAGTGGCGTCGCAGCTACTGACGGACGCGA